AGGCCGGCGGCCGCCGCGCAATGGGGAAGGGAAAATCTTGAGGGACGGAGCCAGAGCAGGGTCTGCGCTGCCCTCGGCAGTTGCTTTCCCCGTTTGAAGGCCTCCCAGTGTGCTGCTACCGCAAGGACCGGTTTGAAATATGTTCTGTTGGCCGTCTGACGCCGCCTCCACCTCTCGCTCTGCCCGGCTCCTCTCCTCCTCCGCCCCGGGGACGCCCAGGGTTCAGCCGTGTCGTGGTCCCTTCCCAGCAGCCGGGACGTGAGCGCGCCGCGTCGCGAGAGCCCGGCGCGTTCCCTGTGCTGAGCTCTGCTGTCTTACCCCCGGCTCGTCGCAGACCCAACAGGTTGAGCGTCGGCGGAGGGGCGGGGGGGATTTTCTCAATTAGGTTGTCGCGTGTTTTCAAAACTGGACGTGGCGCGTGCGATTGCTGGTGCGCGGGGCAGCTCCGTGCCTGCCGTCCTTCCCCGGGTGAGGCTAACGGGAGCTGTCAGAGCAAGAATCGCCGATGAACGCTGGATCCAGCCCGCTGTCCTCAAACGAGGAGGAAAACATAGCAAGGCGTTCACAAGGGAGCCTGTTCTCGCCGCTGCGCTCGCCCTGCCTCGCGAAGCCTTCCGCAGCTGGCGGCGTTTCACCCTTTCCGGGCTCCTCCGAGGTCAGCGATGCGTTTCCATCCTTGAATGACAAACCGGCAGCATCGCTTTGTCCCGCCCGGGTCCCCAGGCTGGGTTTGATCTTGTCATCCCTCTGCCTCCGTGGAGCTGCCAAACTGCCTTCTCTGAGCTGGCAGGACAGCACCGGCGTTACCCCGGGACCTGTTCTGAGCGTGGAAGTTCTCGGTGGCTGTGCAGGCACACGGTTCCTTCCGTTATCCGTATCCCTGGCGCGTCGGACCCCGAAGCCGGTGCCGCTGGAGCGGTGCCCGTCCCTCCTGTGCCCGCCTGGGCTTCACTCGCAAGCGTTTGTCGCCGCTGCATCTCCCGCCCTGCGCAGAGCTTTCCCTCCCGGACACCTCGGCCCCAGGTGTAGGCAGGAATCTGTCTGTCCGCTCGGATTTTTAGGTGGACGTTGTGGCTGCAGTCCTCCTCTTGTCTGAAGACCGACGTCATCCTGGGATTCTTATTTCTGACCATGAGCCCGTACCGGAGAGCTGCCTGCCCCGTCCGCGCTTGGTCCCTTGGGACGCTGGAGAGCAGCGGCTGCCTGCCCACACGGAGCTGTTCCGAGCTTGTTCCCGGCGCGCAATAAGCAATATCTCTCTCTTTTTTTAACCCAGAAGTCTCCAAACCGCTTCTGCTCCGTCAACGTTTGCGGTCGGACAGCATCCGTGTGCCCTCGCTGACTCTAAGCGATGCCTTGGACCTGCGTCTGCTTTCCCAAAGGGCAGCTCAAAGCCGTGGGGTCCGTGTTCCGTGGTCTGTCCGGGGTTGTCAGTGGCCGAGCGAATCGAAGCCCCCTTGCTCCTTCCCGATTTAATGTAATAACGTTATTCCAACTTTTGGTTTGGGTTTGTATGTCGGGTTTTGTACGACGCGTTTTCTATTTGGCTCACGACCGTTTCGCTGGTGATCTGCTTGAGGTGTTTTGTAGCGTGCCAGGGCAAACGCTGCGTTTCGTTCTCGGTTTCGTAATAAAACTGCTGCTCCAAGGCAATTCTGGTAGCTGTCACTTTGATGCATGGCGCGGCCGAGGCTCGGGGCTGGAGCGTGTCGCCGGGAGGGAGCTGGAGCAGATGGGGGCGGC